AAATGTACCAAAACTCAATAAAATTAAAAAAAAAAGAAAAGAAAAAAAAAAACCTACTACTGATCTACATACTTGTATAAAAAAAGTTTCTCCAGTAGTAGCTTTTATACCCTATGACTCAACTTCTAAGGTTAATTACATTTGGGAAATTTGAGCAGGGGGGGACCAACATGGCCTTTAGTTGGTTTGCAAGGAATTCTGGTTACATAAGACAAACTATCTTTCTTAATACAGTCCTTTTTACATGTTTTAGCATGGGGTTTTTAACATCCACCGAGGGTTTTTTTTTTTTCAGAGAAGCTCTTAATAGCCATACATCCAGCTAGCCATTATCTTCAGATACATTGGTTACGTTAAGCTATTGATTAGGATTGTTCTGATTTTGTTTCTTAAATTTAGCCCTTTGTTTCAAAATGACTCTTTAAAAACATACACATTCTTCGAGTACTTCTGCTAGTTTTTCCTACTAGTTTAGAAAAAATTAACTGTGAAATTCTTACATGTCATTTTTAGCCACACTACAAATTCCCTAGCTATTACATTCCTACAAATACTATATTCCTATAAATGCTGAATAAATTCAATAAAGATAATGCTGCTTGATAATTTACCATTAAACGAGGAAGAGACTGCAGAAGATTTCACTGATTATCTCACTAATTGCTTACTTGTGAAAATTTTCAGGATGTTGCAATCATTCCACTAAATGAATGAAACTGTGAAATATTTTTCTATTGATGACAGGCATGTGATAGGCACATCATTTTCCAAGTTTCTTCCTGGTCAGGTTTGCATTATCTCTTCAGCTGAGTCTGGACACACAGGCATTTTCACTCCGGAAATCTTATTCTCTCTGCCCTCCCTAAAACCAGATCCTACATCTGACCCTTAAAAAAAAAAAAAAAAAGTAATTCAAATCAGCCCACACTTGCAGTCTTCTAAAATACTCTCATATATATATGCTTAGCGCATCCCTCTCCTGAGCATTTCAGGTGGCTGGAAAGGACATTTTATTTCCCTTAAAGCACAAAGTACTGACTTTGCTGTTGGTCTTTTTGGCTTGGCGGGGCGGGGCGCGGGGGCGCTTCCAAGGAAAGCTGAGAGACTCTTCATGAAAGAGCAGCTATGCATGGCCCCGTAATATTTAAATTATTGTGCAAACCAACAACTATTTTTGGACAATGGAAACAAGTGTTTACTCAGGGGGACTTTGCCATTCTTTAGCTTGGTTCTGTCCTGCAGTTTATGTTACATAATCACAAACCGTGTGAATACTGGTTTAGGCACACATCACCAAGAATTCTTGCATCAGGAAAGTAATCATATTATCTGGGATTGTTTGCTCCAGGGAAATTTGTTTAGCCAAATTCTTGCACTTTAAAAAATAACTGAAAAGTTCACGCGAACGGCTCCTTACTGTCCATTCCAGTCTTCCCATCACCCTGCATTTAATCGCCATGGGTTTCCTACGTCTGCGTTGGTCTCTTAACAGGGCTAATACCAATAAATTCAAGTTTTGGTTTTTTGTTTACAACTGCCATTTCCAAGTCCTGCCGTGTCTGCAGGAAGAAATTACGGGGTTGGATAGTTTTCCGATATCATTCAACGCTGTTTATCACTTTGTCGTTTACAATCGCTCCCTTCAGCACACCCATTGCTGCCGCCTCTCGGGCTGGATAAAGGAGTCTCCGAGCCACACCAGGTCTTTCTGGGCCAGTTCGCGCTCCCGCGCCTCGGTGCTCGGATTGTCCTAGCCCTCCCTTCGGTTTCCAGTAGGGCTCCGAAAATTTTTGATTGCGTGAAGCCGGTGTCATTTCCGAGCGTGGACGGAAAGGTAAGCGGGAGAGGTGGGCGCAGGTGCGGGTGTGAGGCGCCTGCCGGGCTCACGTGGTCATCGGCCCCGAGGGCCAGGACAGCGCCGGGCTGGGGCGATCTCCGCTTCTCCCTTGGCTCCCGCCTGGAGCGCTTTGCGTAGCGCGGCCCGGAGAAGC